CAATACTCGGTTATCTTAACCGCCGGTTAACTCCTAACGGCCAGTTAAATCCTTAACCGGCGTTAGGTAACCGAACATTAAATATGCGTTGTTCAAAACATGGTTAGTCATGCCGTTAGCTAACGTCGCCGTCAAAGTTTAACAGTGTGGTTAACGTCACTGGTTAGCTTCCATATATCCCATAGTTCCGTTTTCTGTTTACTTCCGGTTTACCAAAAATGGAAACGCAAAATGTCGCCTGCACCCCAAGGAAAAAGAGAAGTTGAAATTTCTCTGCTGACAAACAGAATGTAATCCAGTCAATTGTTGAGGCCAACTCTATAGTTTATCATAGGCATGCGAATGTAGTAGCGCTACAAACGTTTTGTATTGGAACACAAGGTTCCAGACGTTTGCATAATTTATATTTCAAAGACATATGATCCCAGCTCTGTGTAGGACTTACTTCAATTCCAGCAACAGAAAAGACATTTTAATGAAAACCTATAGCACAGCTATAGATAAAATATGATGAATCCATGAAAATAATATTAATATTAGAAGCATGTTGTCCGTGGAAAGAAAATGTATAAATATTACACACAGAGTTACGCTTAGACGGCTACAGTCTTAATGAATCTTTGAATTCCCACAAGACCTATCGCTCACTTTTCACTCCTTAAATTGTCATTACTGTATGGCCAAGTCATTAAGATGCTATCAATATCATTTATTAATTATTTGCCAAGTCTGTCAAAAATTCTAATGTATGAACACACATTGCCAAATCTTTAAACATCAAACAATATAGATGTTGTGAAAATAATACCATTAGCTTTTATCTGAAATGTGCATTCAATGCCAATAGAAACTTTATATGTTACTAGCACCACGTGCAAGTAATCAAACTGTAATTGTACTATAGGCCCCTGGGCCAACACTGCTGAATAAAATCGATCTATTATCAGACCTTACTTTTGACAGGAATCTCATGAATAATACAGTGCAATATCGTCATTATCTGAATGCCTTCACGGACGCATATTCCGAAAAGATGTCTTGAAAAACATGAAGCTGCGTCTAATTTATAGATGAACATAATTTCCTCGATACTCATTAATCAGATGAACCTTCATGTAGTTCAATTCACAAGTGACTGCAGAAAATGCTATATTCTTTTTAATGACTTCACGGTCGGAAAACATATATTATATGTCATAAGTGTATTATAGAACGCTGAAGTAGATGAACATAATTTCCTCGATACTCATTAATCAGGTGAACCTCCATTTAATGCATAGATAGTTCTTTTCAATGTCTTCAAGGACGGAAAACATGTATTATTTTTCATAAGTGTATTATAGAACGCTGCAACGATTCAGCAGAGAAATACTATTGTGCCATAGTTTTCCTTATATGAACCTATCAGTGTATAACATTAGCATTCAGATATTGTTATAAAATAAGTTAAAAATTCCAAATATTATCGTGTAATATGACAAGAGATAGTGTTGTGTTCGCTGTGACAAAAAGGTTTTGATATTCAAATATAACATTTAATCAAAGTGACTACGAATTAGGCCTGCATATCACTCACAACAGAAATAGATACATAATAATGTTTTGTTTATTTTCCTACACATCAGTTGCGAGAGCAATGTTTATGCTAACTAAGTTTTCATCAATTAATACAGCATTTTTAAAAGATGATTTGCTTCAATTAAAACATTCGAAGAATGAAAAAGAAATTAGGCCTATTGAAATGATAAGTAAAAATATAATTAAAATCTATCTATGCGAAGGGATGCCAGACGGACATATCAAAACAAAATCGGATAATTACTTGGAGTATAGACTTTAAAAAATAGCATATTAATTAACAATGATATCAGTTTTTAATAAAATCACTAATAATTCTGAAACGTTGCCAATAAGCCTGGAATCGTGTTCAGATGTTTTCATAAATACACTCACACGAACCACCCGATCCCGTTAGTCGCCTCTTACGACAAGCATGGGTTACTGAAGATCCATATTCCAACCAGGAAATTCACGGGTTTTTACATCATTGGTATTGTCCAATTAATGGAGCATAGTTTTAATGACTGTAATGACAGTAGCAACAGGAACAAAACATTCGTTGTTATAACGAGGAATATAAGTAATGGTGTTACTCTCTATAGTTTGGCATGAAATGCATGTGGACCCGTCTTTTTGTAAATATCTCTTCATCCAATGACCCAATCGATCTCAAACTGTGCAAGTGGATGTGTTGTCAGACAACCTAATCACATTGTAAATCACCGATTTTATGCATTTGTATGAAAGAATCTGTCTATGTAACTGTCAACAAAATAAACAGAAGAACGCAGACGGCTTGCAGAGGGAGGGAGCCAATGACCTGTAACAGCGGCAGTGTTGGGTCATAAAGGTCAATGTTCGTCAATGTAGGTCAGCTATGCTGATGACCCTGATGTCAAAAGAATCTAACTTTGGATGCCCACCTTCTTGTACAAGGTTTTGTTTATTGGTTGTTTTTTTTTTTTTCCCAATTTTTACCACGATGTTCTTTTTCATGCCAAGAGCAAAAGTTGTACGTTTCATGTAATCCGACACCTCATAAATAGGTTTGCCACGTTTGCTCTCTTTTAAAAAAAAATTCAACACATTTCTAACTAAACGTTTAGCATCATCTGAATAAGCTTTCATGATGACAGCTAGAAGTAGTCAATGTGAATGCTCCAAACGGTCTATCACTGTGCAGTGCACATGTAACTATCATGAACTGCACGTGCATTTACCTTTATGACCCAACACTGCCGCTGTTACAGGTCATTGGCTCCTTCCCTCTGCAAGCCGTCTGCGTTCTGTTTATTTTGTTGACAGTTACATAGACAGATTCTTTCATACAAATGCATAAAATCGGTGATTTACAATGTGATTAGGTTGTCTGACAAAATGTCCACTTGCACAGTTTGAGATCGATTGGGTAATTGGATGAAGAGATATTTACAAAAAAACGGATCCACATGCATTTCATGCCAAACTATATATTGGTTAAACAGACGTAAATTAAATAGCTTGAGGTCAGTTTTAATGTCTTATTACCAACTGTTCTGGTTTTCTATAATAATCTCAAAATCTCAATTCGTGATTGAGTATTCAGAAAGTTGACCCCGAATGTATTTCTTACATTTCCGGGTACTCGGTTCCGATTCGGGTACGTACATGCGGGTACTCGATTCCATTGTTTCCTACCTGTCCCAGCCCTACTGAATTCCTCATACAACTGGTCTGTTTGGCACCAATACCAAGTGTCTAGATAAAGTGAAACGAAAGATATTGGGGGTGGAAACAACTGCTGTGCTCGAAAAGACAACACCTGTTTGAAATGTAAACCAAGAAAATTTCAGACTTTACACAATGTAGCATTTTCTCAAATTTTCAGACACCCATTTGCATGGACAGAGAATAGTAGCAAGAAACAGGAAATTAAAAATAGATACAATACAGGAATGTGATGTGTTTACACGAAACTGTCAAGTTTCTGGACTGCTTGACGCCATCACTACGCAAAATCACACAGAACGACAACAGTAATAATCTGCATTTCTGGCTTCTTCTCTTTCTTAAAAAGTGAGTGCAGGGCTCCAGGTAACTTTTGGGGGTGCAAGTGTACTTACACATCATATTGCAAGTGGAGGTGTACTGAGAATTTTGAAGGAGTACTGACATGTTTTTGTGTGAGCGAGTTGGTGATGTGGTTTGTCTGGACGATTCATCGATCACTATTTCCAACCATGCATTTGTATTTGAAGACGAGTCAGAAATAACTGAGCGACCGTGTGATGCGCGAAATGTCAGGTCCGACTGGATATAAATAGGAACAGTGTAGTTTTTAGCCAATCGAAAAATAGTGACGCATATCGTTGCATGGCAACGCAAGTGATTCCTACTGTCGGGGTTTCCTCATGTGTCAAAATCGTGTTTCGCAAAAGAAACTTGACAAGTATTTATCCGAAATAGATTTCCATTTGCACGATACGCACGGAAATTAAATGTTAGACATTCAAAGGTATTTTTGTGCATACATGATACGCGTGAAATCTTATATTATGTCATACTTAATTGATTTTGTGGCGTACATTACGCCTGTACGCCCCTTATCTGTAGCCCTGGGAGTGTATTTGGCAATTTCTCTGAGGTGAAGGTCGGTAGAATAAGAGTATACACAATCACCATATCCCGCCGATTACACTTTCAGTATCATAATGTAATCGTTCGGATATTTTTTCATGAAACTAATTTAATTATCTACATGTAACCGTGTTCAATATCATATCATACGTGGGTATAGGGTGTGGGTGTACATGTTATATTCTTTGAAAGTGTTTGTTTGAATAATATTTACAGAAAGAAATTCACACATTTAGTGTAGTAAAGCATATATAAACCTTGCCACAAGTGTTAAAAGATGAAACGTAGGCACCATGTACTTGTACAACATGTATTTTAGTTCCTATGATGTGCATAGATACAGTTTCGTATGTAAGTCTTCGTCAGAATAATTACCAACATCGAAGTCCAGTCCACGATACACCCTATCCTTTCTTTGCTGAACTGGCATCATGAAAGCAGTGTTAGTCATGAACGCCATTTGGGAGTTAACCACACTGTTAAAAAGTTAGCGGCGGTCCTTAGGTGTGTTAACGTAACGTCACGTTAACAGCCTGTTAAAAGTTAACAGAGTTTTGAACAAAAAGATAACCCTCTGTTATTAGGCAACAGTCGGTTAAATGTACTTAACGGCTGGTTAAAAGATAACCGAGTTTTGAACAACTCTTGCCCAGAAATATAACAAGAGTAAGCCGTACATGGTAGTTTGTCTTATTACTTAGTTACACATCACCACTAAACAATCAGATGCTACATCAGTCATCTTACACTGTTGTTCTTTCCTAGATAGTTCATCACTTTCTGGAACTGTGACCGGCTGTCAACGTTAGGTCGAAGTTCACAAACGTTGATGTAATTCCCACGCCAGTACACTTCCCCGTTCTTCCTCAAGCTGCTCAGCTGGCCGAAGTACTTGCTCTGAGCGAGCGGCAAGCTGCACTTCTTTGTCACATTCAGGGTGGTACCTCTGGAAAAGGATAGATTTACAAATAATGTAATTTTCTGACTAAAATTGATATTTTATACTAATCCTAACTCATGCTAATTATGCTTGTCTTCCTTCCACAACTTGTCAGATTTCTTCCAAAACTTCTGACATTTTCGTGTGGATTTAGATATACTAATATTCCATTAGTTATCTATTACAACTCTATCTCTTGATGCGTGAATCAAGTGGAGATGCGACCCTTCTTCATGTACAAGTATGTCCTATACAAGTACAGGGTCTATCACTATATGAATTATGTCACCAAATCAGCCATGGTAGTAGCTTGGTAAAGATACTAGCATCTTTACTGACATGTTTATTGAAAGAATGATTGATATGAAGAAGTCATTTCTGTTTTCATTGATACAACAGCTTAAAAACTGCCACTTAAATATATCACAAAAAAACTTTGGTTCGGTTGTGGGTTTAATCAATTGAAGCTTTACTTGCAATCTATAGTCTAAAGAATGATCAATTATGAAAGGGGCACTTGATCAAGCCATACATTCATAGAAATTATAACTCAGTTCACAGTTCTAACAGCATGGATGAATATCGTATGCTTAAACATCATAACCTCCGAAACATTTAGTTGTTACAAACTGTGTCACAAGACAGTCTTCAGCTTCAGGCAGCCGAAACTGCACAGTAAACTTTTAATGCATTATTTTTCTTTTGACAATTCACTCAAAGAATATGATACCAAAAGATTATTTCAGTATAACCTTTTTGCACTAACTGCACAAAACCATGTTCCTTTTGCGTGTTGATCATGCAAAATAACACAGAACGCTGATGTTACTTTGTTGTCATGGAGACAGAAACTCACAGTTTGACAGGTTTGATGCAGGCTGCTGTAGAGAACATCTCCACTTTGCAGGTGAACAGCCCCTTGACACTGAGACGTCCGCTCCATGTGGCGTACTCCTCATCTGACGACTCCCGGTACGGCGACGAGGATGACGGAGGTCTCGAGGTAGGGCTGATGTAGGCAGGGGGGACTTGTCAGCTTAGGGCTGAATACCTTAGGGCTTGACAACTTGGGGCTACAATGGAAACAGAGCACTTTGAAGATGATTACAGCCCGATAGTTCGGGGACGTAAACACAAGATCAAGTCAGAAGTGGTAGAAAAATCTATAGGGATCTCGATGACCTCATACAGAGGATATTTTTGGGTACAATTTCAGGCAATTAATCAGTATTTGATGATAATTAGGTTTGCATTGCCATGCAGAAATGCTCCAAGTTGGTTCACTTTCTCGGTTTGCTTTCAAATCAGGATTAATGACACACTGCTTCAGAAGTTTCTACAATTAACGAGCTTTACTGTTTCTGAAGTTTTGCTTGTACCTTGTGGCAGTATTGGGGATCACTTGGTGGAGGGAATTCGGCTCTTTACAAATGGTGGGATCATATATAATCTGATCTTACATGTCAAACACCCTAATCTGATTGGACCTGGCTGTTTTGATAAACATTTGTGCAACCTGCTATCAAGGGGTATAAATGACTTATTTTGCAACCCACTCTTACTCTTGGGACAACAAACGAAACATCACTTTTTTCAAAATTGCAACATTCAGAATGTCAATGTCATTGATAGAAAAATACCTTCCCCTGTGATATGAGTAATAAATATAAGGCTACTTATATAGGGCTGAACTCCACGCTGCCTGGACACGTGGCTCTAGGTGCACACAACACAATGGACATTGTACCACGGATAATTCAAGCTGCACTCGGGGCGCTCAAAGGTTAATAGCATGACTTATTCCACAAGGTACCCATTCACTGCTGGGTGAACAGAGGCAAATTTGGACAAACTGACGTGCTTAAGATGAGACCACATGTGTCACATTGTGCGTACTTCATTGTGGGGCAGGACGCAAGTCCTAGAAACGGTCTGGAGTCAAGCTGAGTTGGACTCATTCTTTTGCTTCATCAGCTGTGTCCTAGGTCATACAGTACAAACCTTTATGGGATGTTTTTCTGTGACTTGCAGTTTAATATTGTGAACAGTTATTAATGTTTCACAGTTATGGGGACGTTTCACAGTTATTATGGTGAGAGGATTAAACAATATTTTGAATTTGAATTGCCAAACTTTAGTTCTTATATCCATGTTAAAAAACACAAGCAGTTGCCATCACAGCAATTCGTTGCAACCTTGGGGCATATAGTTTGATGTAGCTCGAGCCATCAGGTGTACATCATAGGGTACACCAGGTGTATAACCCTCGTAATACGGACACAACTCATAATGTTGTTCAATGGCACAGTAACAGTTTGGTGTAAAGGACGCCAACCTGCAACAATCCAAGGTTAAACAAACCTGACAATTGGGACTTCTATGGGCTTTATCTTCTTGACATCATCCTTGTAGTTGAAGGACATGACTGCGAAGGGACAGATGTGGCGTGGCCGCTGCTCCACCGTCAGGTCTCCGTATTCATACAAGTACAGCTGGAAACACCACCACACATCAACTGACGTAACTCACAGCAGAGCTCTACACGAGGTGTATTTTATTAAAGTAAGTAACCATGCATACCCAATTATGTGTTCCTTGCAAACAAATATGCTCGAGAAATTAAAGCAACAAGAAGACAAAGTCATCAATATTCCCCGCAATGGCAAAATAGTCTTCATGATTATGTCTACGAGTTATGATTATGTCAAATATTTAGGTGTGTATATAGAAAAGTGGAAGGAGAGTATTGAAAGGTTTTTAAAGTTCTGCTCCAGAAAGGAGCACTATCACCAATTTCAGGCTAAGTCAAACTTGTTGCCATGGAAACGCCAAAAATATTTTATTCAGAATTCCAAAACTACCAAAAGGCACCAGTACACTACCAGATCTATCTATGTGCCAAGTTTGGTGAAGAAATAGTTAACAGTTTTAGAGTTCAGCTCCGGAAAAGAGCACTACCACAATTTCAGGCTAAGTGAAACTTGTTGCCATGGAAACGCCAAAAATATTTTATTCAGAATTCCAAAACTACCAAAAGCCACCAGTACACCACCAGATCTATCTATGTGCCAAGTTTGGTGAAGACATATTGAACGGTTCTAGAGTTATGCTCCGGAAAAGAGCACAACCACCAATTTCAGTCTAAGTCGAACTTGTTGCCATGGAAATGTCAAAAATATTTTATTCAGAATTCCAAAACTACCCAAAGGCACCAGTACACCACCAGATCTATCTATGTGCCAAGTTTGGTGAAGGAATAGTGAACAGTTTTAGAGTTCTGCTCCGGAAAAGAGCACTACCACAATTTCAGTCTAAGTCAAACTTGTTGCCATGGAAACGCCAAAAATATTTTATTCAGAATTCCAAAACTACCAAAAGGCACCAGTACACTACCAGATCTATCTATGTGCCAAGTTTGGTGAAGAAATATTGAACGGTTTTAGAGTTCTGCTCCGGAAAAGAGCACTACCACCAATTTCAGTCTAAGTCAAACTTGTTGCCATGGAAACGCCAAAAATATTTTATTCAGAATTCCAAAACTACCAAAAGGCACCAGTACACCACCAGATCTATCTATGTGCCAAGTTTGGTGAAAACATATTGAACGGTTCTAGAGTTATGCTCCGGAAAAGAGCACAACCACCAATTTCAGTCTAAGTCGAACTTGTTGCCATGGAAATGCCAAAAATCTTTTATTCAGAATTCCAAAACTAGCAAAAGGCACCAGTACACCACCAGATCTATCTATGTGCCAAGTTTGGTGAAGAAACATTGAAGGGTTCTAGAGTTATGCTCCGGAAAAGACAAATGTGCACGGACGGACGGACAGAGTCCATTTTAATACCCCCCGGAAAACGCTTTGAGGGGGATAACAACAATAGAATACTCTGTGTAATGAACCCCACATATCCTGTGACTTCAGTACCTGTATTTCTTTAGATCTGTGTTTACTGGTGGAATGCAGGTATCTCACATACACAAACTCGGCTCAGATAAATAATGCACTATGTCTCACTTATCATTGATTTTATGTGGTGCTGCTGCAGCCAGTCAGTGACTTAACATTTAATGTCACATCAGTTTTACTTCAACAGTATACCGATGGTGCTGAGTTTATTCAACTTGTATTTGGTTTGGTTGTAGTTTAACGCTGTACTCAGCAATATTACAGCTATATGGCGGCAGTCTGGACCAGACAATCCAGTGATCAACAGCAAGAGCATCGATCTGCCCAACTGAGATACGATGACGTGTCAACGAGTGACCACCCAATCCTGTTTGTTAACCCGGATCTTCACGGGTCCCAAGAACAAATACAATACAGTCAATGGCATTCAAGCTGAACTAAACATAAAACTGTGTACTTGTAGATGTAAAAATACCCCAAAGGGAAGTGAAATATTGACTATATTATGAAAACATATTGAATACACAAATAACACTCAATACTAATTGTGAATGACAACTTATTGACTCAGGGAAAGAAACCTTTCAAAATTTTCCACTAGTCCACAGGACCAGTGAGTGGACAATAATTAGTGGTCCTGTTTGTACCTCACTGGTCTAAAATAACATTCGTTGAGTTACTTAACTATCAATACAAAATTCACTAGCCACCAGGACTACTGAAAACTTATCATGGGCCTGATGAATTTTCACTAGGCAGGGACCACAGGATCAGCGTAAATTTCGCACACAGTTGACTTCATGGCTGACAAAGTGATCAGGAGCCATGACACGTGCATCACTGGGAATGGAATGCCAACATTTGTGTGGCTACAGTACATTATGGGATACAGGTTGGAGTACTGTCAAACCAAAATCCAATGGAAAAGAAAAGAAACTAGGTCAATATCCTAAACCATTGTTTGTTGAGATTATATTACTGATACAAGTCATCCATGTCTGCATTGTGTAACTGATCGGTCACTGAATAATTTAAACCTGTTGGGTCTATCTAATCTAACTGAAAGATAGCATTACAAAGAAGTCCATAACTGCTTTCAATGTGGGCAAGTGAGTAAGTGAGAATATGTTTTTATTTCTAGAAATATTACAGAGGTCACATCAGACACTGGCTTCAGATACTGTATCCCTACGGAATCAAACCTAGGACTCGGGTCAGATGAGTGAACATGTTCAACAATAAGGCTACCCCACAGACCCTATGATGTTGGAACAATGCATGCATGAACTTTCAAAATAATTTACAATAATTTCAGCAAAATCATGTGTGATCTACCAAATCCCTGTTATTTACACCAATAACTAGTATATTACATTTATTTAAGCCTGCAAAATGAACATTAGTTGATAAAGGATAAACATTAATGTCACCTTACCATGTCTCATTCAAAGTCAGATTTGTCGAAGCATGACAATTCTGTACCAACATAGCAATCAGTTGTACACTTATAGTTATTGGTGTTAAAGGGTGTTGTATATCAAAATCTGCAACTAAAATACCACAATATTAGAAGAGATCAAAGTAGTTTAATATAAAATTTATTCAGCCATTGTGTCATACTTTCTTGTGTTACATAATTTTTGTTTTTAACTGAATCACTGGTATTTCAGGAGGAAACATGCATCGAGTTTACTCCAATATCCAGCTTAGTTTTTCTCAAATCTCACATTCATAATGACAAAGTTTGCCACCCATCCTTGTTGCATCATATGAAATCACAGAATGGATACGATGTAGTTTTTGACAGAACAAAATGCACACGTAATTTTTAGTAACATACAACAGTGGGTTGGTGTTTTTGTGTTGTAAAGTGATTCAGATGTTCATACAATATTAGTGAAAGCGGTAGTGTTTGCATTAGTGAAGTTTTATTGTATCAAACTGACATTTCAAAAATTCATTTTGATCCATGTTGTAGTATGAGCTTCTCTTATAATCAAGAGCTGATAACAAATGTGTTTATGGTTATTTTCAGCCATTATCAATAAACAAAGCAGCAAGAACAGCTGGGGGTGCTAGATATAGCCCTTAATTTAGTACTTAATAGCTTGTATAATTGGTTGGTATGTTGTTTAACACCGCACCTAGCAATCCTACAGCTATATGGCAGTGGTCTGTAAATAATCAAGTCTGGACCAGACAATCCAGTGATCAACAGCATGAGCATCGATATATACAATTGGGATAAGATGACATGTGTCAACCAAGTCAGCAAGCCTGACCACCCGATCCCGTTAGGTGCCTCTTACGACAAGCATGGGTTACTGAAGACCTATTCTTACCTGCATCTTCGCAGGTCTGGATATTTGGTGTGAAAAGCAGTGGTGCAATCACTGTGCAACCTCACCACCCAAAATGTAGGATGACTGACTCACCTGTGATGTTTCAAACAGCTGTGTGAGAGTGACTGTATTCCCATCTTGCGGATTTGCCTTGGAAACGTGACACTCGTGGTTGGGAGTAGGTTCTAAGTAGGGCATACCGCGGTTCTCAAACACTGGCTTCACGTGACCCTGTCACAGAACACAACAGAGGTACAGATAAGCTGCGTATCTGCGTAAATTACGCAAATATTTACATGAAAACTCAATTCTTATTAAGTCTGTTGCGTGCAAGTACGCTTGACTTTTTGTAAATACTCAGTAGATTTGATCTTACAAGCGTACACACAAAAATGTCCAATCATAGCTTGCGTCCTGGTGCATAGATAAGATAACTGAGGTATATTCAGAGGTTCTATTTCAGCACATGAACTTGGCAACTTTCTTCCTTATCGTGTCTCATATTACAGATCCAATATAAATAACATTTAAACTTTATTATATTTTTATAATTAATGGGGAAATGGCAAAATACCGAATTGAGTTTTAGTGAGGTTGGTACAATATATTTGGTTACTCAAAGGAAAATTCGGATACCCAATTGAGATGAACACAAGCGAGTAAATAACTCAATGACCCCAAAAGTTATCTGTAGCTCTGACACAATGATAATGGCAAGACATCACAATAGTAGTAGTAGAACTATCATGACAAAACGTTTCTAAGTTAAATTTTTTAAATAGCTGTAATTCTAAAAAAAGAAATCCTCATTATCTCTCTTTTAGATCATGCAGGTGGTCCCTAAATTTGAAAACAATCAAACTAACAGTTTTCCGGTTCTTGGTTGAACAAAAACGTCTCCGCATGGGCAGACAGACAGATTTCCTAGGTATTACTATGTTAGATCGAAGTATTATAAGTTCCAATGGTATATGTAATTACTTGGCGTATTTATTGCATATTGGTCATTAGGTGATGAATATCAGTTATAACATCACAAGTAACACACATAAATTTTTACTGTATGTCCTCTGCAGATCAATACCAAGTTCAAACATGAACCAGAATTCCCTTCCGGACAAAATACAATGTAGAGCCTATATACGGAAAGGTGGATTTGACAATATCAACCACCAAAAGTTATGACTTACCTTCATCACTTTAAACATGATGATAATCCCCTTGCTGCGGACAGGGATGGATGTGGGACGTAGCACATCTGCATGCTTGCTCAACTGCACACCTATATAGAAACAGTAGCGGGGACGACAGGATGTAATAGAAATACCAGACAAGCACAAATGAAGGTTCCTTCCAAAAAAAATTGTTGGGTCTCCTGGACCAAACAAGTCAATTTGGTTTGGTTATTGCTTAACACTTCACTCAGCAATATTCCAGTTATATGGCAGTGATCTGAAAATAATTGAGACTGGACCAGACAGTAGTAGTCTCTTTCGACACGCATGGGTTGCTGAAGACCAATTCTAACCCCGATCTTCACGGTTTCATGTTCAGTGGATGCTGATATTTGACTATTGATAGATGATCCTAGCTGTCCAAAATAAAGGTTTCAATTGTTGAGCCTTGTGTTAGTCCCTGACAGTGTGAAGAAACAATATTCTGTTATGAAAGAGAATGAGTAGTGATGGGAAACTAACCAAATATATAAACAATGGCTTGAGAACTTTGTATTAGAAATACATGTATACAATTACATTTAACCTAATTACATTTAGTATTAACACCCGTTATTCATATTGGGAGTTCCTAGTTTTCTTTGGGTGTTATGACATTTCATGTATATTTGTTTGCAATGAACAAAAGTTAGTGGGGTTATGGTAAACTTAGTTTGTGCACTACGTAACGATGTATCTTATCTGGGACCGTGGTAACTGACATCGTCAGTGGGCGTTGTTTATAGCAGTAGTCCTAATGTACACACAATAGCCACAGTAATGGAAGCTTGTAGAGAACCAAATGACATGCTGCCGGGGAACTGCCTGACTACAACTTAGCCGTCTCTAACTACAAGCATGGTATACAGGAGACCCACTGACAATGTTAAATGCTACCATATCAGTGCAGACCATATAAGACTGGATATCAATTACACATGTACTCCTAAACGTGATCTCAACTGATACGTGTTCACAATGATAAAAATAGATAAACTATTGATTTTGTTGATTATGTATAAGCTGTGATAAACCCGTGCTTGCTAACAAAAGCAATTATACAGGATATGGGACTAAGACCAATACCTAAACATACACACCTGTGCAACAAAATATTACCTAATAAATATTCATCAATGCCATCATATGAGAGCAACCTACCCATGTCTGGGTCTCCCAAACAGGATGTAGTGAGATTTCCTATCTTCACCCCGTCCTTGCATATTGTCTCCACCTGCAGCAGAAACAGATATGCTAGAATATTTAGCTGAAACTCTTACTAGCAAACAAGTGAAACAAATATCCCAAATAGCATAATGAAAATAGGTAAACATCATCGACATATCAAGGTCAGGTAAATCTGTGTGTCAGGTAAATCTGTATGTCAGCATCATTGCCAGAGTATTAAAATATTCATAGGCATGTACAAAAATGATTAAAAAAGTAGATTCAGAGATTTATCTCATATACCGTTGAGGATATAAGGTACAGCTGTACAGAAGGAAATTTGCCAAAACAAACACCCTGCAGTGTCTGTCAGCAAGGTCTCAGCATCCACCTGTCTCACCACACACAGTTCGCAGCAATTAATATGGATATTGTTGACTGGCATTTTGAGTAAAATAATAAACTAGATAAACATGAGACGAACGTATGTCCACAAATTATTCTTAGTCTGATAAGATAATTTTACTTCATAAAACATCATGCTATAAACATTAACAATAATTGTATCACTGTCCCTGTAATCAACAGTCACTCTATTTTCCAGCTGAAGCTCTCTGAAAAACAAACTATTAACATGCCCATAAAGCAATTGGTATCACATGCCTATTGCCAACCGTAATTTCTACTAGCCTCAGGCCTCGGGGAGCAGTAATTTCCATCACTCGTTTTACTTACTCAAGAAATACATACCTCTGCCTCACTCTCCACAAGGAGGAATGCATAGCTATCAGCAACATCTCTGTCTGAGTATCCTGCTTGTTTCAGCTCTCGACGTTTCTCCAGATACTGAAATACAAACAAATTATGCTTTAAAACAATAGAGTACTGTACTTCATCTGAATACACACTGACCAGCCCTCCACTGGGGACCACACTGGATGAATTGACTGACATATTATTAAACACGATTACCTCATGTCTAAACCTCTAAAGTCTATGAGGGGTGGTGGGGTAGCCTAGGCCAAAAAAAAAAATAAATGTTATGGTTCCGATTTCCTACATTTCAGAACTAGGGTAGGTAGGTAGGGTTTGTTTTTTTGCAAAATATTTTTACATTACTCATGTGTCAGAAAATAAATTTAATTTATTATGTGGTGAGTAAAAAGTGTTAGGCTCGGCGGGAATATTTAGGGTCGGTTAGGAAATCGGAACCACAAGCTTTTTTTTTTTAGGCCCTAGTGGTCAAAGTCTCACTTGTCACGCCGAAGGCTAAGGTTCAATTGCCCACAGGGGTACAATGTGTGAAGCCCATTTCTAGTGTTCCCTACTGCGATATTGCTGGAATATTGCTAAAAGCAGCGTAAAACTAAACTCACTCACTGACTCTAAAGTCTATAGGTGAGTGAGTTTAGTATTACGCCGCACTCAGCAATATTCCAGCTATATGGCGGCTCTAAAGTAAGGCTGTGCAATATAACCGGTTTACCGGTATTTACCGGTTCAGTCATCAAAAAGATACGTATTGCGATACGCTGATTGAAAACCGGTATTTTGACATGCGTTAGGAAAACTTTGTAACACATGGAAATCTTCGGATATATCCGTTTTTTCACACCGGAAGTCATGCGATTGTTGTAAAATGGTGACACCCAACAACGAACAAATACTAGGACAAAGGTTTAAGCATAGCAGCATTTGGGTTGAAAAAGTTCACGGTTTCTATTTTGTCATGATTAAATGTTGTTATTAAAGCTCAATCAAGCATTGTGAATTTGTCGTGTTTTTGCTTTATAATAAAGCATTAACGCGATTATGAGTCATTTTTTGTTAAAAGAGACTTTATGCAATATATTGCAATACATATCGCAATATATGATTTCGCATTGCAATATATCGCAATATGAAAATTCTCTGCAATACCCAGCCCTACTCTAAAGTCTATGGTGAGTGAATGTATTATGAAATTAATGAGAGCAGTTTTCCAGCCATATTGTAGAGGCATATATTTGTAGTAAGATCAATGCCACACACCATACCTATATACCCGTGAAGATCTTTATTAAAATTGGTCTTCAGCAACCTATGCTTGTTGTAAGAGGCGACCAACAGCATTGGGTGGTCAGGTTCGCTGACCTGGTTGACACATGTCATTGTTACCTAAAAAAACATCCCTTGCTGATGAGATCTTATAATTCTTGGTGTACAAAAAACCGAGTTATTATTCATACGGTATCGTTTGCAATCAAAGTTCTATGACAGTGCGACCTGCAGGTTTGTTATTCATTCACTAGCAGCAGTACTTATCTGGATGGTAGGGGGACTAATGATTTCAAAAACAAAATACAATTGACAATAATGAACATGCAATTAATTAGTACAGCAACTGTACTGCCCTTGATCGTGTACTGCCATTGTAAAACCCTATGTTTTGCGAACCTAGTTAATTTTACAACAGCATGGATTTCTGGCTTAATTTGTTTCAGTCCTGAAGCCAACATGCAACATTTATTAACGTTTATTACACACATTCTGTATATCTTTATGAGTTAATTTTGGTTATCTGAAACAGGTGTTGTGTAACCAACCAAGGTTATTCAATGATAGTGACGTCATAATGCTCAACTTTCTGTTGCCACCTCGATATTTTAAACTAACAATATAACTCCATTCAAGCAGTTTTTGACAAAAAATGTCAACCAAACAAAACAGTAGGATAATTGTGAAGAAAGGCGGTTCCAGCTCAGAGTTGGCCAGGAAACAGGAAACACTTTGTGTGTGATACAAATAGCACCCACTTGATCTGACTGGCTATTGTTCCAGGAAGAACAAGGAACCAACCACACATGTGAATATTACATGCTCGTTCCTGTAACGAACACATACAGAGTGGTCCTCCATAATCCTAGTCGAGAGTACTGGCATATATATGTACATGTTTGGTGCAAAGTATTCAGGAAGTAACACAGCTATTATAACTGCTTCATTTGCCAGAATGAAAAGAGATTCAGAATACAGTAAGGAGTGAGTGAATTTAGTTTTACGCAGCACTCAGCAATATTCCAGCTATATGTCGGCAGTCTGTAAATAATTGAGTATGGACCAGACAATCCAGTGATCAACAGCATGAGCATCCATCTATGCAATTTGGATGTGATGACACGTGTCAACCAAGTCAGCGAGCCTGACCACCCAATCCCGTTAGTCGCCTCTTACGACAAGCATGGTTACTGAAGAGGAAGGAAGAAGGTGGAAAAGGAAAAAGGAGAAAGAGGAGGAGGAAGGAAGGAGTGAGAATAGTCCTATGGTATTTCAACCATTGGCAACTATTACAGACATAGACATTTTACTAGCAGAAAAACACTTTTAATATCTAAACGCTCACCTTCATTCAGTGAGATAACATACAAGGGTGAACAAGTCCAAAATGTGGTGCATAAGCAAGGCTACAACCAACAACTGGATGTAAATAGGTTGTATCAAGCTTCCAAGTTAACTTTTTAAATATTTGTGAAGTATCATTTTATACATGCAGACTAACAAATAATTACCATCTTTTTATGTGACATCTTAAATTCGAGTCAAATTTGTGTAAAATTGAATATTTATTTTATTTTTGCTAGTGAACAAACAAATATCATTTTCTCCCTAATCATGCTAATAGTACATTAAAAGATTCAACAGTAACATCCTATGTACGCCAAATGTTACGTCATCAGAATAGACAATATCTGAATTGGGAATATGTCTTTCTATCACGTAAGGAAAAGACTGTTGACTGAAATGGGCTATATTTCAGTGTCTTGTAGTCACGTTTCACATTCACCAGGTACATCATGTCTGTTGCGAGATAACCAGAATGTATAATCCACAGCTGTTATTGATCTCATAATTAAAAACTCAACACACACAAAACAAATATATTTATATGACAATATCAGTAATTGAATAAGTGGGTTTTGTGTCCTGTTAGATTTAATATTTTTTTCAATCTGCAATCTCAAAAAAATTAAGGCAAATTGAAAATTGATTGAAAACAGCTGTTCGACTGAGTGGAGGTTAATGCGTGTGCTGTGTCACCTGACTTTATGTACTTCATGCTAGCAATTTATTTTACTCATCAGAAACAGCCTGCTTTAGTAGTGGCCAAGGCTAAAAGACGTGTTGTTCACACTCGGAGACTAGTTTTCTCCCATGCAAGAATGAACATAATGACATTTTTTTAACTGAAATATTTCATGACAGTTTATGCGTGATCGATTGATTTGTTTGCAGCGATACATTCCATAGTCAAAATGTACTGACTTGACAATGAGGAAGTACTACAACAATACCAGGCACTGAACATAGGCACTGCTTACTTCGAAAGGCTCTACTTACATAGCTATCTGCTTCCTAGTTTTTCATGTAACTGATGAAGGGGTAAGAAAATTCTCTGAAACGATGTGTTCCTCAAAATATAGAAGATGACATCAATAAATTCTCGCCTTTAGGATCTTAGTTGTAAAAAATAAATAATTAAACAACACAGCAATTATTGTGAAGCTATAAACATCGACTCACATTCCTGGTTGGATTGGCTTAACACAACTGGAAACAGTACAGTACACAAGGTTTATCAGTGTTATCTTAATACTTAAAATGACTTACAATTAACAATTTGTGGTGTATCTAGTTAATGAGTGATTATGATAGCTGGTCTACCAGTACACTCCTGCAATGAGAACAAGCTCTATAACAGGATATGTAAATTTATATAATTCACAAGAGACATGACAGCCAACAATATGTTAATAATTCACCAACAACCTGGACATTATCAGTGATTTAATAATAGGGATGTCATCATACATTGCGATATTGAAAAAATATTTCAAGTACTGTAACAATCAAGAGTGATTATTGGTTACTATTTTTTGTAATATACTATAATGTATGGGATATTCAATAAAAACATGATACAACTATTGATATTTCATATCTTTTATGAGACAAATAGTTTAACAGTGTGTAACAGACGTGACTGAGATTTGCATTTAATTAGTTGTGGAACCAACTTTAAGACCTTATTTAGAAATAAAGTGTTGCTGACAATATCAGGCTTTTCCTTCCTGTTGCTATTTTAACCAAAGAGAAAATATTGAGCATCAATTAATAGTTGTAGATAATTAGTGGTTATTACAGAAGTATCTGGTCATCCCAGTCACTCTCATCTCGTAAAAATGGCCTGCACCTTCGCCACATACTGACATAGTCTTTAATGTGTAATGTATGCTTGTTATCAGCCTGGTCGATCCATGAATAAACAATGCCATCTAGAATGGTGTCCCTTCCACAAGCAGAGTTTGTTAGATGGCTGAACTTGTGTGCTGGCAATTAGGTGCCTGACTGTGTGTGTGAGAGTTAACCCAACAAAAGTACAAGAACCTGTACTTTACCACGAAAGTGTAATCCCAACTATAACATATGTTATTGTCAGTCCAGGTGTCACAAATCACGCAACCAAGTGTACAGCATTTAGCTATCATCTGTGACCCATGTGCATAAGATGGGGGATCAGCCTGAATATCTTTATTGCTAATTTCAGTCACACTGATCATGTTTTCAAAACAGCATAGAGACTTTCAGACTGCAATTTCTTGCAAGGATTCATGCATTACCTAACCATGTACCACACACATGATCAACAGCAAAACATTCTAATGCTTGAAATGTTAGTTTCGAAACATGATTGTTGTATTTGCAGTCGTAATGGTCCCATGTGACATAGACCAGATTGGATCTAAAACAGTTTAAGAGAAGGCCATCTTAATCTATGCAAAAAAGCATGTTCAACATGCCTCTGTGTC